TTCTCTTCTCCCTCTGTCTCTCTTTTATTTTCTCTCTGCTTTCAGGTTTGCAGCCTCAGGACAAAAGCAAGGATCTGTACTGGTTTTAGACAGCCCACCCTTCCCCATAGGTCTCTGCCTAGCGCACTTGGTGACACTCAGAGCTGAATGGAGTGGGTTTGTAACAGCTTCTGATCTTGGTTTGCAGCTCGACGCTATTCCCTCTGTGGTGCATCCCTCCTGAGCTGACCTGCTGACCCAGGGTTCCCCCTTCCCTTTCCCTTCTGACCAGCCAGAAGGCTCAGCATCTGTGCCTCTCACTTCAAGGAGGAGGACATGGGGAAAGGCAGAGACTTCGAACTTCTCCCTGTGTCGGGAAAACCAAATCACACACCTCAGAGATTTCATCTAAAAATAATTCCTTCTGCCAAAAGAGCGGATCCAAAGACTCTGAATTATGTTTAATGACTTCTGGGCAAATCACTGGAAATATCTGTGGTGAGATCACTTCGGTGATAGGATAGCATAAGTTATCTTGGAAGGAGGGAAAAACAAAAGGACTTTTTGGTGTGAATATTTTTTATGCTGATGTGAATTATTTCATACGTAGTGTGACCAGAGCACTACTGACGTCAATATCCTCAGATTTAAAATGTATTTGTATTTGCATTGAAGACTGTGGTAGAGAAGTAAAAAGAAGCGATTGTTCTTCCTCACCTCGGAAGCCTCCAGCTCCCTTCCTGCCCACTCCCCACTACAGCCCTGACTCCAGGCACAAAGACACACGTTCTTCCTTTGGATTGTGAACATTGGAGGCCTCAGCCTGCATATGAGTGGCAAGTGGATCATCTGGAGCCACCTGCCCAAGTCTTATTGAAATGCAGCTGTTGTAGGACAACTGTTTAAAACTCCAGAAATACATCGACCAAGGTGGCACTTCCCAGTGTTTGGCACAACAATTGCAATTGCACTGGATACATTTTATATGTGTGTGTGTGTATATATATATCGTATTTTTTACAAGGAACATTTTACGATGAAAGAAGAAACCCTTCTCTGCCTTCTCTCCCACAAATTCTGTCCCTCGCCTTCCTCCCCTGGATGAAAACAAAGCAACAAGAGACCCCAACTGTCTCCATGAAGAAGTAGGAATCACCGCAAGGGGAAGGAATGTTCCATGGAGTGTCCAATACCTCGAATATTTTTCTCAGTCTCTATGGTCATGACTTGGTCACTTCATTGTTGGGACAGGGGAAGGGGTCTGTGCATTGGGCAAAGCTGAGGGTGATGAGGAAGAAGAAACAAACATTAAAGGTATCTGTTTACTACAAGGTCCCTGTGTTGTTTCATAAAAAGAAAATAAATTGTCCTATGTTTCTCTAGTAGAATAAAATATAGTAGTATGATCTCATGTCAGAAAGTAAAATTACTTTATCATATATATACATATTACTTTTTGTTTTTCCAAAGTGTTTGCTGTTCTGTGAAACCTGACAATAACCCCTCTACTCATCAAGCCTGGAGATGAAACGTTATGTATCACCCTTCTCTTTTTACAAGTGAGAAAATCAATTGTGGCCATATCAGCCCAGGGCTTACTTCTTAGCATTCATGAAGTCAGAAACAGAGATGGTACCGAAAGCACCACCCACCCATACCCCATTC